AAACTACATTTTCTCGAAAAAGGGTAATTTAGTAATCTGCATATAATATATATTATGTATTATTTTTTCTTACTTTCAAGCCTGTTTTTTATAGAAGGGGAGACAGAGATGCTAAAAACCCACCACATGACAAACATGTGGCACTGCTTGTTGAAGACCTTTGACTGCATTCCTCTGATTAAATATATCTAATGTGTCACCTGTGCTCAGTGCACTGACTAACCAGTCAGGAGGATCATTAGTCAGGTTAAAGCCTCGCCCATTACTTCTCTATCATTGTTTAAACTGTTACTCAGAGGCATTTCTCAACACTCAGCTGGGGTCAGGGTCCAAGGATGGAAGAATGAGCGGCGGGAGATTAAAGGTTAAATCAACACTGAGCAGAAAAACTGCTGCTGGACTTTCCTCTTTGGGCTGAAAGCTCGACTCCCAGGCCACACCCCAACCAGCAGGTGTTTTTGACAGCTGATCAATAACACTACTCTCTGATTGTGTGTCCAAAACCGCAACATGCTGTAAAGTTTCACACTGTGGGTCCTGTCCCTAATAGCATCCTAGACCCTGCAGTCTCCCTCCAAGTCGGCACTTGATGTCAAACTCATGGTGTTATGGTCCATTATGGGACCTGGGCTTTTTCCTGCATTATCTGGAAAAGTAGAACACCATTCAAACCATGGAGCATTTGACTTGTTTTCATTAGCGCTTCTACAAAAGCGCTTCCAAATCAACAGCAAGAGAGGGATCACTCTCCAGTATAATTTAAGAATGAACTAACCCATATAAAAGTTGCTTAACGGCAAAATTTGATAGTTGTACTCAGCTTCTGGCCACATTAGCAGCAGGGCTTCAGGGATGGCAATGTCAGTGGGTTGGATGGTGCTGGACGACTTGGAACAAAACTTCCAGAAATACTGCACCGTTAATGTGCTTTCCAAGTAATATCAACGACGCAGTGCGCAGGAATATCTGTGAATAAGATAATAAGAAGTAGCACTTACGTTACAACTGCAGCCTCATCCTGCGAGCTCGTCTACCTGAACTCAATCGTACAGCTCCTTCTCGGCCACTGTGTTCCTGTCTAACGCCTAACATGCCTAACTAGCTACTACTATGCACTTTCACGCACTTCTTTACTTGATCTCCTTGAACTTATTAAAATAGATTTAGTACTTTTAGTAGTACTTACTTAAGCTACAGTGATGTCAGAGTAAATGTAATGTATTACCCATGTATTGTGTAAACAATTGGATGTTGGACATTTATGGTCGCCAGAAGCTGACTCTTAATAACTTTGGTGATTCTCTGACGTTTCATCTAGCCCCACCATGAGGTCAACATTTCAATTTGAACACTTTGGCTTATGACCAAATACCTGCTAAGCAACCATTATACCTAACAACACTATGTTATATTAACATTACTACTGCTACCATTTTATAGTTACCAGGATTACTACAAATCAAACACATTTTTGACCTCAGTTTTTATCCATCTCTTTACAGCCTCACAGAGCTGCTAGTGTATCTGTTAACTCTAGTTAATCAGCTCGTTTACATTTATTTAGTGGCTCTCTGGTTAATAATAACACAGGTTGGGTCGTGTGCTGTCAGGTTGTGGACGTCACAGACGAGCACAGATGCAGACTGGAACAGTGAATCGTTTAAGCGGCGCGGCAGCAGTTTTTCCTGTGGATTAATTATCACTAATCGAACTGTACTGTAGTATTAAACTCTCACACTATGTTTATGATAATGAAGCAGTGTGATTAATCAGTGACACATCCAGGACTGTGATATTTCCCATAACGCATGTTGCTATGGAAGAGTAACCAGGGAGCTTGTCCTTGCTCATATGGGCTCTATTTTGAGATAACATTTCCAACAGCGCTGGCATTGGATTGTGTAAAAGCCACATTATCCTCGAGGACTTTTTTCCTTCACTGTGATGAAATGTGCTGTGATGGTTCCCACACCCTCGTGGGTGTTATTTGTGTATCACTGCGCTGCAGGTTCCTGTGCTGCCAGCTGAACACAAACATGTTGATCTTTGTGTTTGACATATGGATGAAATGCTGGCGGTTGTGAAAAACTTGTGGCAAGATGAATGATCATGCGCAGGTGGTGTTAAGAAGCAGCATGGAGACGTTCTAGAGGTGCGAAAGTAACGCGATGATGTTATAATTACATCAGGAAGAGAGGCAGAGTGGGAGCAGGTGGATGTGCTGCTTCCCTCACAGGTTCAGTTTCTGTAAACAGGCATCCATTCAGTTTCTGTCTTCCCTCCCTCCCTCCCTCCCTCCTCTGTCATCAGCCTCTCCTTTTTCTTTCCTCTGTGTTTCCACCCCATGCTCCACCTACAGGCCTGATGTCCATGTCCCCGCATGGATGTTTTCCATGTCTGTACACTCAAAACAAACCGAGGGAAGGTAGCTTGTGATACACGCCCATCAATGCATGCAAACACATCCTGATCTCTGGTTCTTTCTGAGTCTGTCTGGCTCCATCCTTTACTTCTCAGAGACACAGAGAGAGAGAGTTTGCCTTGAGGAGACAGCTGTCCCTCACAGAGACGACAGTATCAGAATAGAAAAGTCGGCTGGAGGATGACGGTGGCTTATTATCACTGTCAGCAGCCCGCACTTAATCCCTGTCTGGAGACTGGACATGCAGTCACATCACCTAAGCATAGTGGTGGAAAGTTACAGTTACTCATGTCCTCAAGTACAATTTTTCTACACACATTTTATTCTTATTCTTATTTTATTCTTTTACTTCACTACATTTTAAAGTAAAATAGACTTTTTATTCTACTACATTTATCTGACAGCTGTCACTGGTTATTTTGCAGATAAAAGTTGTACACACCAAAAATGTGATCAGCCTGTAAAACATTACACATTTTTGTACAATAAAGCACTCGACAGCGTAGGCCGTCGAGCTGCAACTAGTCAATGATTTTATTGTTGATTAATCTGCTCATTATTTTCTCTATCAATCATTTAATTGTTTTGGTCTGTAACCTGTCAGGAAATACTGAAAATCACAATGTCCCATAGATGTTAACTTCAATATAAGACTAACAAAACCAGCAAACATTCACTTTTTTTTGAAGATTGAATCAATAAATATTGGTCATTTTTGTCAAAGATTGTTGCTGATATTCTGTTGCTCCAGGAATTATTTTCATCATCAATTTATCCGAAGTTTTGTTATTATATTTTCTGTTTTGTCTCTGAGATGTGAACGAAAAATGATAAAACATACCCAAGGTGACAAGTAACTCTTTAACTTATGAAATAATACCAATATCACAATGTAAAAATATTTCTCACCTTAACATTTGAGCAGCTAGAACCCACAAAAGTTTGACATTTTTGCTTAAGAAATGACAGAAAGCAATTAAACGATTATCAAAAAAATTGCCAATCAGATAATAAACAAATTATTCCAGTATTCCAAGTATTTAAACCTGCTCAACCAGCTTCATCAGTCAAATACTGCTCACATGTTAATGCATCGGTAATAATATCCAGTATAATCTATTATAATGTAAATGTTTATCTGCATTACTTTTATTTGTAATGAAGTGCTTTAATTGTGTGGTATCGGTACTTTCACTGAAGTTCAGTTACTTATCTTCTTCCTGGCTACGTAAACATCTGCAGACTGGCCTGAGATCAATTCTTTATCACTGAAACTGGTCTCCTAGTGAGTTTGTGGATACAGCAGAGCACAGAGAGGCACACCTTTATCACGTGAAAGGTTGTGTGTGTCTCTGTGTGCGTCTGTGTGTGCGTGTGTGTGTGTGCTGGAGTGCATGTGTGTGTAAACAAAGACGCTGCTGTGTGTGCAGCCTTTCTCCACCACCCTTTTGCATACGCCTGTAGATAAGTGAGTGAGCGAGAGAGAGAGAGAGAGAGAGAGAGAGAGAGAGAGGGAAAGCAACCCCCACCTGGCTCCCAGTGCTTTTGAACTGTGTACACTCTAAATATTTCCATAGCCAGCGCTCACACGGAAATGAAGGAGGAAGTCGTACATGGTACATGGAAGAGAGAGAGAGGGAGAGAAATAGAGAGAAAGATGGAGGGATGAAAGAGGTGACAGTCTAACATTAACAAGTATACATTGAAATGACTGTCACGGTATGGAAATTATTTTATCTAGACCCACACATATACACACACACACACACGCACACGCACACGCAGACTGCTGTGTGGTTATACCCTATAGCAGAAACCTGAACAGCACACTGGTCTAACCACACCTGTATTGTAAACATGACTGTTATTGAGCATGTACACCTTTTACATTTTGTTTTTGTATGCGGAAAGATTTTTCAGACACAGTTTTAGGGAATTTGAGTATGAAACTGGATTTCATGAAACACAGCATGATAATAAAGATTCAGTGGTGTAATATGTTGTATTGTAAGTGCTTGTCTAGAAGAAAAATATGTTAAATCAGCAGGACTTTGTAGTAGAAGTTTGCAGATTTAACAACCCATCCTATTCACTATACATGCTTAAGTATTAATGTTTCTATTAGGGCCACAACTAACAATTTCTTTCATTATCCATTAACCTGCCAATTATTTCCACTTCACAGTAAATCAATTAATGTCAGAAAAATAGAGAAACATGTCCTTCACAATTCCCCAAAGCTCATACTGAGGTCTTTGCTGCCTCTTTTGTTGTCAACTATCAGTTCAAAATTACAAAAATATTCAATTTACTATAGTTAAAAAAATAATTAAATGTCATATAACAAGTTTAAGCCTCTAATAAAAGCTCTCTTTGCAGTCTGTGTTTCTACTTTTTCCCTCTCTGTAGTTCGCCCTCTTGTCAGGGAGCTTTCAGTATCTGAAAGACACAGACACTGTTTTTAAAGAGTATTTGTATTTCTGCGTTGCTGTCTGACAGGTGTCGTGTGAACAAGACTATCATCCCTTAACTCAAACTGTTCTTTGTCCTTCTGTCCTTTCTGCCTCCTCTTCCTCAGTCCTCATTCTGGAGCCGGTGGCGCGCGACGACCTGAGCGGGAAAACCTTGAAGATCACAGACTTCGGTCTGGCCAGAGAGTGGCACCAGACCACCAAGATGAGTGCAGCGGGGACCTACGCCTGGATGGCCCCAGAGGTCATCAAGCTCTCCCTCTTCTCCAAGAGCAGCGATGTGTGGAGGTATGTGTTTGTGTGTGTGTGTGTGTGTGTGTGTGTGTGTGTGTGTCACCTTATTCCCCTCATTTATACATACTTCCTGGCAGGTTATCAGGGGATACTAATGTGACACAGAGTGAATGTGTATATGCTTGAGAGGTTGTTCACATGTTTCATGATAAGAAACCAGGCTAAGATTGAGAATATTTGGCAATTATTCTTGCTTTGCTTACGACAATCAATCTAGGTTAAAATAGGAAATAGAAAAATAGAAATAATTAAGAGGACTTCTTTGTGCGATGTCTTCAAATGTCTTGTGTTTCCAGATCCCAGATTCAAAGACATATGAGAAAGAACAGCAGAAAATCCTCACATCTGCGAGGCTGGAACATGAGAGAGATTCTCACGTTTTCACTGTCTTTGCGATTCATGATGATTCAAACAATTAACTGATTATCAAAATATTTGCTCGTTAAATCTTTTCATCCCCAGAAGTACATTTACTAAAAGTAGCACTATAACAACACTATGTTGTTCATTCTTTCAGTGACAATTCAAAATAATTTTATGTTTGACAAAAAATTCTCATCATGAGGTTTAACTTACCCGGACTTTTTTTTTTGAGCTTTCAGCTGCATCTTGTGGCTTTCCTCAGTAGAGCTTACTCAGTTGTTGTTACATGACCTACAGGAACTGTGGCCACTGATGAGAGGTGGTCATTGTCATCCTGTTGGAGGATAGTTGCTGGGTGTCAGATGTGACATAGAAAACATAAAAGAAGAAGAAAAACATAATGTTGTTCTCACCTGTCTCCTCTCTCTTTGTCTCTCCTCATAGTTTCGGTGTGTTGCTCTGGGAGCTGCTGACCGGCGAGGTTCCTTACCGGGAGATAGATGCACTGGCGGTAGCTTACGGTGTTGCCATGAACAAGCTAACACTTCCCATCCCTTCAACCTGCCCTGAGCCTTTTGCTCAGCTGCTGGGAGGTAAGCAGGCGAGCACCTGGACACGGAGAGATTATTAAATCGTAGAATATCAAGTCGATACTTCTGTCATTGTGGAAGATACAAAAACACATCCACAGACTTCAAGATGCTGTAACCTTACTTTGAGTTAGTTTTTTGAGGTTACAGTGGATGAATTTAAAACCTTTCTTTCACTGCATCTGGGAGCTGAGGAGTGCACCAAGAGTTAAACTGGATGAAGATTCATTAAGTTGCTTTTTATACATCCTCGTGCCGTCCCGCGCCTGAGCTCCCCTGGGCTGGCTTTTTCCTTTTCACCTTGCAAATAATCCTGGCAGCGCTCTGTTAACAGTGGTAGAGTATTAACTGGCTCTTGTTTCACAGTTCAGGTCATCTCTGTTTAAACACACACCTGCCTTATATACAAATTGCCTTAATGTGCTTATTCCTAAGCTACTTTTTTTTCATGTGGGTAAGATGCACGCCAGGTTTTATGTCTATTAAAAAAAAAAAAAGAAAAAAAAAAAGAACAGAGCGAGGAAGCTGTTTCTCAAACTGTCAGCCCAGCAGCAAACTTCAGTCACCTCCCTTCACTTCCCTCCCACTCTGCTCCTAAAGCTCTTTTCCTCCTCACCCCCCCCCCCCCCCCCCCCCACTCCACTTCATCTGATCCATGTTCATCCGTTAATCTCTCCTTTGTCATCCCTCGCTGCTCACTACACTCTGTTTACTCCTGTCATCATCTCCCTTTCATCTTCTCCCCCCTTTACTTCAGACACATATTTTTTATGCTAATTTATCTTACCTAATAAATTAATGTTACCTGGTTAGAAAAATGTTTTTAGCCCATGAGACGACTCCCTATATCTGCACTGTAATGATTATTTTTACACTGTTTTTGCCATGAACTGTGTCAGACTTGTAGTAGATGTTTATGACTGTGGCTTGGTGTTGGACAGACAGGACTGGTCTGTCTGCGGCTCGGTAGATTATTGTAGGTGTGCACCATGTTTCTGCAACACTGTCAGTCAGGGTTTGGCTCATGATGGCTGCCATATGCTGTCCCATCTTGCTCTCTTCCACTTCTCCTGTTGCCTTCTCTGCTGCCAGGAAAAAAAGCGAAAAAATATCCAGACCAACAACTCATGGTTCAGTCTGCTGTGTATTATGTTGATGATCTGACTGTATGTTTTGCTGTATATAGACTTTATTATTATTATTATAATAGTTATTTATTATTTATTAGGGTATGTCAATAACGGGATAGTCTGCATTTCTCTTATTGTCAACAGATCCCATGAAAAGATGAAAACGTGTATTATCAGTGTATCTAAAGCTTAATATAGTTTATTCCTTTGTGTCATAGAGCTCCATTGTTGTCCACAAACTAGAAAAAACACATCAGTGAGCCACACTTTTGCACTGGAAAACATAGTTGAGGTTGCACTTCATTACAGTCAACATGTGCACTGTAGTTTATTTTGATTCAGTCCCAAATGTTTGGAAATTACTGAGTCTTTTTAAAAAAAAAACTATGTTTGAGAGGTGTTTTTTAAAGATTTACATATTTCGTAGGAACTATTGAGCTGAGTTGCCACAGACAGGGTTAGGGTGATGAGAAGGATGGACTTGATGAATTTGGTTTGGTGTCAGAAAGACAAATATAGAAATCGGCGAGGAGTCTGCTGAAACTCAGAGACTGTCCACATCATCTTCAAAACAAGAGAAGCAATTTGGAGGTCCCCAAACCAGACACCCTCCTCCCCCTGGCTGCGCCTTGAAATCTTGCCCATGAAAATCACAAACAGGATTGGTGACAAGGAAAAACCGTGGTGAAGGCCAACACCAACCGGACCCATCTGCGACCACCGAAGCTGCAGCATCTGATTAGGAATACTGTATAAAATACAGGATACACTAACATGATACTAACCCCTGAAATCACCTGTCATCACAATTCAAAAACTCACTCTCGTGTCTCTTGTCCCTCAGAGTGCTGGAGCCCCAACCCCCACAGCAGGCCCTCGTTCACCAGCATCCTGAGAAGACTCTTGGCAATCGAGCAGTCGGCCATGTTCCAGATGCCTCTGGAGTCCTTCCACTCCTTACAGGAAGACTGGAGGCTGGAGATCCAGCAGATGTTTGACGAGCTCAGGGCCAAAGAGAAGGTGAGAGGTCTGAAAACACAGATCAAAACTCTGGTGAGGCCTAATTTTTCTGGACAGTATGTGGACGGTAGCTCAGCAGTGAAGAACTTAAGTACAAATTTTAGGTGTTTGTGCTTAACATGAGTATTCGTGCTGCTTTCTAATACACTGAAATGTTGTACTTTTTACTTCACTAATTTCTACCCACAGTTTTTGTTACAAGTCACTTTACAAATTCACATTCTTGCATATGATGATCTTACAAAATATGATGCTTAGTTGTAAATTACATCTTAAATAATCACAAGATTGGCAACTACTTTGATAATTGTTTAAGTCATCTTGGTCCCAGCTTCTTAAATGTGAGGATTTGGTGCATTTCCATTTAATTATTTTAATCATTTCAATTTATTAAATAATTTTGAGGTTACCTCAAGCCACTACAGTAAACAGTAAAATGCTGCTTCAGTTTCTTTACTTTACTGTAAGGACATTTATCTGATTAAACTGACTGTGTGTAGAAGCTTATTGAAAGCTCAACAGTTGGCATCCGACTATTAAATAGTCTTAAGTTGTAAGGAAAAACTAAATGAATTAATATCTTTTGGTCTAGTTTTAAAATAGACAAAACAGAAGGGTTCAGAAATATGTCAGTAAAAGAAGATTATTCTTTTCACTTTTATCCGCGTTTCAGCAGAGTTTATTTATTCAAACAGAATTTAGTCGTCTGCCTCAGGTGTTTCTGATAATTAGAATTAACTCAGCAACAAGTCTGTTGCAAAAAGAGGTGTTAGAAGAGGTGGTGCTATACTGACAACATCTCCTTTATCCTCTTCCTCTTCCTCCTCCTCTGCTATCATCTCCTCAGGAGCTGAGATCTTGGGAGGAGGCGTTGGCTCGAGCAGCCGAGGAGCAGAGGGAGCAGGAGGAGCAGCTGAGGAGGAGAGAGCAGGAGCTGGCGGAGAGGGAGATTGACATCGTGGAGCGAGAGCTAAACATCATCATCCACCAGATGTACCAGGAGAAACCCAGCGTGAAGAAGAGGAAGGGCCACTTCAAGAAGAGCAGATTACTGAAGCTGGGTCGAGACAGCAACTGTATCAGTCTGCCCTCTGGTGGGTGAAAGGAGGAACTGCGGTTTGTTTTACTCTGATGAATCTGGGCTGTATACATCTGTTTTTACATTAAGAGTAAAATAATTCTTGGCTCAGTGAGAGCAATAAGATTTATCAAGTGACTCTGGCCCGTTGCAGATGTTGACGTTGCAGTTCAGGGTTGGCACTTTAAACCCTAGTCCAGCAGGGCACCTCAGCGTGACGTGTTTTAGTGTGATTTATATTGACGCTCACTCTGGTCTGCACTTTGTTTTATGTGCGTGTCCTCAATTCTAGAATTTATGAAATTTTTTGACAAGTGATAAAATGATTTGGCACATTTTCTCCCTTTGCGTCCTGCAGGCTTCGAGCATAAGATCACAGTGCAGGCGTCTCCCAGTGTGGACAAGAGGAAGACCCAGGGGAGCGAGAGCACCACCCCGCCTGCCAGTCCGGGGGTCATACCCCGACTGAGAGCCATTAGATGTGAGTGCAAATACCCACAAGCAGAAAACAATCTGAAATGATGGGATTTAGCAGGTTTAATGTTAAATGGTGATCTTTTTCTGTGACAGATTTTGTTTTGAAATGTAATGAGAGCAGTGTACATCAAAAACAGATACAGCCTACAGTGACTATTTGCAGCACTTAAAACACTGAGGCTCTTCTGTTGTGACTATTCATGCAGCAATGACACGTGCTTTCAAAAAATGCTCAGTTTGTCCATGAGCAAACGTTCAGATTTACTACAGAGAGAGATTCAGATCACCACCTGTTGATCTCCGACATTGTCCACTGTAGCCCTGTACGTGAAAAAAGGACAAACTCTGGAGCACAGAGTGAAATCAGCCTCCTCAAAAATCAGCATCACTTGAAGCTGATCAACCTCGACTTCCTGAAGTGCAGCTCTCAATTATCCAAAACAAGGACACACAAACCGAAACACAGAGAGGCTTTCTTGGAAATAAATCACAGAAAAAGGAGAGACGATACAATCCTGAGAGAAATCAATATCAAATAACCTACTGGGGGTCCAGTAGTAATGATGTAAAATTTGGAATTGAATAAACCTTAGTTATATTTCCCTGATAAATGAGCAGTATTTTTAAAAAAAAATGTTTTGATGCTTCTTGTTTTCACCAAGGACCTCTGAGAATTTCACTCATAACTAACTTTGGGTCTTTGTATCCTGAAAAATATGGCACAGTTAAAGACATGTTCTGTGGTTTGCACTGTCTGTAAGTGACACCGAGCGACGGCAGTAAGACGTGGGGACGCAGCGCTGTGTGTAAGAAAGAAGACCTGACGACCAGCAAGAAGAAAGGACGCACCTGGGGACCAAGCTCCACCCACCAGAGAGAGAGGGTCGGCGGGGAGGAAAAGTATGTTAATAATTTGCTTACATATTAGCTTTTCCTGATAAAGTTTTTATTGTTGTTATTTTTCTTACAGTATTATTGTTAGTAAAGCTAGAACAACTGATTTACAATGTGCAGGATTCACTAGCTCCCTGACTTTTTGATCCTACAGACCTGTCAATAAGAGTTAATGGTGTCCAAAATTTAGCAGAAAGGAAGAAACATGACAGAAAAAGACAATAAATATCACAAAACACAATGTAACTGCAGTGAGACAAAGTGGATCATGAGGCTCGTTGGCACAGGCAAGAAGAAATTAACTTTCCTCACATTTTGCTGGACAGATTATTGTTCATAACACAGAGAAACAACTTTTTACAGCTTTGTATCTCAAAAAAAGTTATTTTTGTGGTTCTTGCTGACTTAATTAATAATTTAATAATTTGTTTTGATTGGAGGCGCCTTGAAAACCTGGTTTTAATGCAGTATTTCTCTGTTTGCAGGCTGAAATCACTCGGTGAGGGATGTAAAGTTTGGTCATCCAGTGCACCAAATCTGGGCAAATCCCCCAAACATGCACCCATGACTGCTGGCTTCTCCAGCCTGAATGAAATGGGTGAGCATTGTGTTTTTTATTATAAGATGTGCATTACTAACTTATACCTCATCTCAACTCTTTTTATTTCCCTATTTTTTTTATCAATAGAGGAGTGCGGTGAGTTTGAGGAGTCACCAGGGTCCTTGCTGCCCTCAGAGACCAGCAGTAACGGGGCTGTGGAGGATTCGGGGTCTCTGTGGGGTAGCCTGGGACCCAACATGATACCGGCTCTTGGGGTGTCTAATATGGCCTCCTGTCAGGGTCCTGGAGGCCCGGGGGTGGGTGTGAGCTACCAGGACTCGCTCCGTCGCTGCAACCAGAGGAAGAAGAGTGACATGTTGTTGTTGGGTTGTGCCTCTCTGCTCGCATCTGTTGCCCTTGGACAAGACCTGCTGCAGCTGGGAAAACTGCAGGTAAGATAAACTGAGAAAGGCAGGGCGTTATGGCAAAGAACAGTCATCATTCAACAGTAGTAATATATGGGGGTCAACACAGTATGTTTATGTTGAGTAAAAATGAGTAGAGTGGATGATACTTGTCTCCAAAACGATGCAACACCAGGAAACTCGTGCAAAGTGGAGACGATGTACAGTACCATGTAAGATGTTTGAAATGAAGTTTATTTTGCTTGCCCAGATCTAACCTATGTTGTTTTTTTTTGCAGTTGCATTTCAAAATTCTCCACAGTGGAGGTGATGAATGAAAAAATTGCATAACCACAATTATAAGAATAAGATGGGTGAAAAGACATCACATTCCTCACATATAAGAAGACGAAAAATATTTCCAATTACCAATCTTATCAGATCTGTCCATTAATCCCACTACTGCTAATAACAAAAATAAGTATCTGGAATAACTAAACACACAAAACAATAAACTCCTACATAACCAAGCATAGACGAATCACATCTTTATTGCCTATTTAGATAATATTGCTGCGATACAAGAAGACTACCAGAACAAACACGTCAAAGCATTTAAAGCTATTTGTAAGTTTTGCTATTGCTACACAGCTAATGTTAGCATTAACAGCCGTTTACTTACCAGAAACGTTGTGAGCTCAGCATCAAACTTCATTCCTTCCACCAAGAGCTGTCTCCAGCAGTGGAAAGCAACACCAATGTTAACTCTTGTCTCTATCACGTCTCTTCTTGTACTGAAGTTAGCATGCTAACCAGCTAGCTGCTGTCCATCTCATCACTTTCCGATAGCGACTCACTGCAGCCTCCAATCTGTTCTGAAGAGGTAACTCTGCTCAGAGGGCATATTCTAACCTCTTGTATTATGTAGACGATGATGGTTGAAACTCTTGTCAAGTGACAATGACCACAACCAGCTCCGAGCAAGAAACCATGTTAGACGGTGGAAAAAACGTACAACTAGCCCCTTTAAATCTATTTTATTTTGTTTGCCTGTCTGCAAACAAAATGTCTCTGACAAGATAATGGTTTTAAATTGTGGTGAAATGCAATAGCTATGTTCCATCATACATTCATTATTCACTTTAGTTGTTACGTTGTTGTTAAAATCAGCTTCCTCCTGCAGACAGTCTCTTATATTGAGTGTAAACAGCATGAACCTGCCTGGAGTCAAGCTGGTAGTGTTTAATAGTGTTTTCTTTGATCAGATTAGTCCTCTTATAATCAGATTTGTTGCTGATCAGGTGAATCTCCTCATGGCCACAGTCAGCCCTTTCTCAGATAAATACTTCCAACAGGATAATGCACCATGTCCCACAGCACGCGATGCCTCCCAGTGACGTACAGTAACTCACATCACACCCACTCTCTCCAGATCACCACTGGAATGAAATAGAACACGATGTTTGCCGCATGAACGAGCTGCAAAATTATCAGCAGGAAATGTGCTTTGCTGTTGAGTCAGCACGGACAGAGGTCTACGCGGACATTTCCAGCGCCACGGGTCTTACCAGAGTAGATTCACAGTGTGCAGTGAGAGGATCAATGAAAGTAATGATATGGATGGACTCTTTTCCCATACTTGCTTTAAGAGGGTGTGAAAGTCTTAATCAAATAAATAATATAAGGTATTTTAATCAAAGGAGGGAACTCACAAGACAGCAGGTCAAATTATCCCAAACTCATCTCACTGCGGCCTTATTAACCCCATCAGTCCCAACCAAACGCTTGAAGTGAGGCTTGAAGATGAACTGACTGATCTATCAGGCTGTCAGTCACTATATCAATAGCTCTGGTGCTTATGAACATCACGCTCGGTTATACTAGGTACTATACTAGCCTGTTGTTATAGCGATCACTTTTGTTTGTCTCCTATTCTCCGTAATGGGAACAGAAGCTGTACAGACTGAATACACTGTCTTATTCATTGGTTATGATGCTTATTGAATTATTCATATTATAGGTCTTGAACCTTGACGCCTTACTTTGAGTAAGTCTTTGTGGCTGTACTTTATCACTTCTCACTTGTGTTATTTATTAGTTACGAGGCTGTTGTTAGCCCATGGTTTCTGGCCTCTTCACCAAAAACCCCACAGATTACACTGGTCAGTTGTGTTAGTGTTCTATCGTATCTTACATCATCAAAAATCCCAAAAAATGCATTTTGCCGCAGTTTTATCATGAATCTAGATTTATAAAATAATTGTAAAAATTATAAATCTTGACTAGAACTATTCACATCAAATAAATCTTTATTTACAAATAATCCTCAGTTAATGTGACCTGATGTTGTCGTCAGGTGCTTCAGGACGAGCAGGACCTCAGAGAGGAGCAGCGTAAGAAGAAGGAGGGTCTCTTCCAGCGGACGGGACGTTTTCGTCGCAGCACCTCTCCACCCAGCCGAAACCTCTCCCTCTCCCTCTCCAGACATCATGACTCCACGCTCCCCTGCATGGACCCTTCTCCCTCTGTTACACTCCTCTCTTTGTCCTCTCTGTCTGACTGCAACTCCACCAAGTCCCTCCTCCCCTCCGACCCCGACGAGTACCCCCTGACCCCAATGACAGGGGTCAAAGTACCTGCTGCGCCTCCGGCTCCTACCCTCAACCCGCTCTTAGACCTGCGGGCAGAGAGCTTCAAGAAGGAGCCCAACCAGTCGCTCACGCCGACCCACGTGTCTGCAGCCATGGCCCTGAACAGAGGACACAGACGCACCCCTTCAGACGGGGCGATACGACCCCGGGCCCAAACTCTGGGACACCACAGGACGCCGTCTGATGGGAGCATGCCCATGCCTCCTCCGCCGGGGGTACCACACCTCACAGCAAGCAAAGGTAAAGGGACAAATAAGTTCAAACGTGCTTTTTACAGTTTTGTGGGCAAACAAATGCGAAAACACTGATTTATCCTCTAATGCTTTATTTATTCCTGCAGCTAATTAATATTTTCTACTATTTATAATTATTATATAGATTTTTTTTGTTTTTTTATTGTTTTGTCCATAAAATGAGTTTTCCTTGAGCAAAAGCGAAGAAACATTTTTTTTTTCCATTCTTCTCTCTTTCATTATTCAGGTACACAGGACACTCTGGACATCCCCCGACTCCCCGACCCCGCCACCCTCTTCCCAGTCCCTCATCGGCGTAAAGCCCCTGCTCCACCGATCCCTGACCCAGCTCCTCTCTGCCTCATCAGCCCCCTGGAGAGACCCAAGACGCTGGAGTTTGCCCCCCGGCCGCGGCCCACCCCGGCCAGGATGAGACCCGACCCCTGGAAGCTGGGCTCTCTCTCTCGGACCCTGAGTTCGTCGCCGGGCAGCAGCTGCGACAGCCCGCTCGGTTCAGGTGACAGCACCGCCGGCGCCGCACGACCAAACCTGATGGACATGGACGTGGAGGGCCAGAGTTTGGACCACACTGTCCCTCTGTGTGGACAGCTGCAGCCTGCCACTCTGTGTGGACAACAATACTCATAGTGAAACACAGCAAGTGAACATTTCCAATTCTGAATTTTTTTGCATTCAATCCTGTTCCAGGACATTAGAGCATGGGCTGAATAAAGAACGCCTTCTGATGTCTGAGCCGAGCAAAGTGCACTCACCGAAGAAGGCAAAAACAACCCACTACTTGTCATGATTTTAGGCACTTACTGGAAGCCATCGCTCTCTCGTGTGCCCTTTTAGTGTCCTAATAAGGTGTGTGAACCCCGAACAGCAAGCCTTTCCCTGATAGTGCTCTCTAACTTGCACGACACTGAGCGTCCTAGAGGTCTCATAAAAGCCTTGTAGTGTGCTCACCTACCTACTTTAACCCAAACACTACTTCTTTCCCTCCCTGGAAGCCATCACTACCTGCTTCTTAGTGACCCATGACCAGGTTGCATTTCCTTCAAGACTCACAACCTTCAAAAGCCATTCAAGTACTTTAAAAAGCCACTTTTTTGACTTTGCTAACTGTTCATTTCAACCCATCTGCTTGTGCTTTTGCCTGTCTGTGTAGCCACCCACTTTCTGCTTGCATCTTTCCTGCCTCCCACTCCCAAAGACCACACAAATCTTTCATCATTCACTGTTTCACCTAAACATTTGTTGTTTCAGGAGAAGTTTCCAAGAGAAAAAGAAGAGCTGGACTGTTTAGAATTCTTAATAGAGACTGTCCTTTTTCTTCGTTTGTTCTGCCGGTACACAAACATCTCCCATAAACTCCTCACGTGTCATCTCTCTGCATGGGGGTTATCGTCCTCTCCCTTCCAACACTGAGACAGGAAAAAGCCTTTTTCTCACAGCACTGGTGGACTGGTGATATCTTCAGCCTTGTACAGTAAAAAAAAAACAACAAAAAAAAACAGAGTTTATTTTCTCAGTGCTTGCACCATCCCTGCAGCAAACCTGTTAGCAAAAATGTTTTTCTATTGGTTTGGCAGACCAGGTGTGTTTCTCTATGTGTGAATGTGTATATATTACTGTATGTGTGTGTGTGTGTGTGTGTGTGTGTGAATGAACAAAATGAATTAATTTTTTGGTGTGCTGGTGCTTCTTCAGTGCATGTTATTTTGCGTGTGAATGGTCGGCTATACGCTACACGCTGCACTTCTTCAAAATAAGACTACACACGTTCTCATCTGTTTGTCTTTTACACGTTTTTTTGATGAAAACATTCCCCTCTAGCAGCCAGTAGCACTCTGTACGGATCCCATTCATGCCACTAAAAATGGACTCACACACACACACAGAAAAAAAGGAAACACTGAGGGAAACAAGCTACCTGATTTCAACGTCAACCTCATGTTCATGTAGGACCGTTTTGAATCTTCACATTCTCTCCTCTGACCTGCTGTATTCAACATCAGTGGCACTTTAGGAGCCATGTTGTGCAACTAGTTAGTCTCTCTGTGGACCAGTGGACTCGGCACAAGCTGCTCTAGTCACGGCTGACAAATCAACTTTTATCTCCGGAGTTGTTTTCGTACAGTGGACAGTTCGTCTTGGCTGCAGATGGTATTTACTTGACTGTGCAAATTTCTCTAGGTGAGTGTGCGAGTGTGAATAAGAGCGTGTGTGAGTGTGTGTTATTATTTGTATGGGATCGTGACAGTCCCGTTGGTATAAGAGTGAGCCCAAACTCATTCTCCTGATGTGGTTAAGAACACTGAGTATTTATTAAATTTATTGTTATTATTGGAAAGGATTAATTATTATTACAATGCTCTTCCTGGGATATCTGTATATATTTGTTAATATAACAGGAAAAACCAAGGAAAACCAAGGAAACTGCTTACTGAAACGTCCATGTTGTCTCCAGTCTCAACCTGTGACATTTCTGGGTTCAGTGAGGAAAAAGTGTGAATTGTGATGAATGAGAGATGAATAATAAAAAAAAAAAAAAGAAAGATGCTTCATTGTCAGTGCCACAGCTGTTTTTATCACGAGGTAATCATCCAATCATGTATCTGGGCGGTGCTGGAAGAGCGACTCAGATCCTTTACCTAAGTAAAAGTAGCAATAAAAGATTGTAAAAACACTAAAAGTCCTTCATTTACTTATGTAAAAGTATTTTCAACAAAATACACTTAAATATCAAAAGTAAGCACCTTTATATGAAGTGATAATAATCACAGGGTACGATTCTCTGAGGAATGAGTACCTTTAATACTTGAAGTACATATAGCCTCTGTGCTTTTACTTCAGTAGGATTTTAAAAGCAGGACCTTTGAACAGATCTTGTAATTGTGTATTTTTACAGTTTGGTATGGATACTTTTACATAAGTAAAGGCTCTGAGCTTGGTTTATTCAGTGGGCCTAATGGACACAGGCGCCAGGGGCCAAAAGGGCGAGAGCCTTTCTTTGAAGAAACAGTTAACAATCAAACAACTACAAACATGACTCCATGACAACACAAGTCCAACAAGAGACAAAATGACCACAAATAAAAATAGATAACCACACAGAGATAAAGAAACTACACAGATAAAATGACTACAAAGAAACACAAAATGGCTATAAAGATAAATTGACATTCAGTCGTGCTACATCGTTTGTAGTTGTTTTATATCTCGAGTGTGGGGCCTTTTCTCGTCTGTGCACAGGAGCCCATTGTTTCATGATCCAACCACGGATCCGATCACTCCCTCCACCCCTGTAAAGTGCCGTAAAATGATAATACCCACGTAAACGCACAAGTACCACAGAATTGTACTTGAACACAGTACCTGTTCCTCAGCAGACAAAGGCAGTTGCAGTAACAGATAAAATCCTCTAGGTGTCACTACTGTGTCCTATGATGTCATATCATTTCCAAGTCTGCTGTTTTTCTCTATGTAATGCATTCCTATAGTCACTCTCTGACACTGCAGTTGCCACAAAATGCAGATCAAGGTGCACTCATGCATTCAATGCAGCTGACAAAGATTTACAGGTTAAATTTAAGACGTTAGTAAAGAAAAAAATCTTACAAATGCCAAACAAAATGTGATATTTTACACCGACAGTGACAACCTCTGGATGTAAAGACAGATCCAGACACATGCATATGTATACAGATGATACAAATACACACACTCCACTGCTGTGTCTGTCGGTGTGACCGCCAATCAAACACCCATCCAGACGCCAGCCAGTTACCTAGCAACCCCTCTTCACTTCCATGGTGATGCTATTAAAAGCAACAACAAAGAAAACGGTGAAAAAAGGGATGATGGGTCTGAAAATGAAGTGAGGAAGAGAGGGAGAGGTGTTAAAGAGCCAGCAGAAAGGATTCGGCAGGCTAAGTGTCGCATGGCCGGTTCACAGCTTTCTCTCTCTCTCTCTCTCTCTCTCTCTCACACACACACACACACACACACGTTGTTGTTCTGTGCTTTCCCTTTTGTCCCTTACAGGTGTGATGACTCGTGTGTTTATCACCTTCTCAGTCTCTCTTCAACAGCTTTTCAGCACATTTCCTGTTTTCAGCACATTTCCTGTTTTCTATTAGTCTATCATTCAAGGAGCAAATGTTTGAAGGAGCAAATGTGTCTCAGTCAGCGCAGACACCTTTTGAAATGTGGGATTTCAAGATTCAGGGGGTGACAGTGTTGGTGCCACTTCAGAGAGGAATGAGGAGAGATAAGGGACGTGAGGGGAGGTGGATAAAGAGGGAAACACACAGAGTGTGTGTGTGTACTTTGTGTGTATTTTTGAAGTGAACAACTAACCAGATTGCCTGCCAGTTGGTGTGTCGTCAGATCTGCAGACTAACTCTCTTTGTCCTTCACTGAATCTTTCTCAGATCATTACATCGTTTCATAGTTTCAAAATGATCTGTTTTAAATATATTATAATGAGTCTGAGCTTAGTGGCACCATTTCAAAATGACTGATGAATAAAGTATTTTAAAGAAGGAATAACTTGAGTCCACGTTGGAGGAAATGGTGACAAAGATGTGGAATAAATGAAAGACTAGATGTGCTTTTTTAAAATGCAGTTATGATCGATCAGATCCTGAAGCAAACTGCATAGAAACTGAAGAAGAAAGTGTAAGAGGTTTAAACTCGTCAAAGATGAAGCGGCTCAGCCTGTGAAAACTTGAAAAGTTGTATCATATCATTTGTGGCTCTGCAGCAGCTTTGTTATGTCATCATGTGTCATGATTGAGTTTGTTGACTACAATTTTATAGGAAAAAGCCTGATTACAAGCTGAGCACTCAGAGGCAGGCTGAGCTCAGGTGTGTATAACCAGACCTTCAAAATGATTTCACTTCCTGGTTTCCTTTGTATTTTTGTGTTTATTCTGTTTAAGTACTTGCATTTATGTAGGACTACATGTGGTTTCTTCCTTTGGCAAACTCTGTTGAGCCAGGTTGTGACATATTTTATATCCATCTAATTGAGGAACCGGTGAGACAAGTCAGTTTAGTGGCTGCTCTTTAGATTTCAATCATATCACATGGTCTTCATCGCCAAATGAAGTGCTGTGGAGCTGCAGATGTTCCAATATTAATCTTTTTCTGATCACTTAAGGAACTTCAAGCTCAAAACCAAAAAAGCTGAGGCAAAAATGCTCCTACATTTCCCATAATGCAACCTGTAGCATCTTTCTGGCCTGTGAAAAAAAAAGTGAACATCTGCACAACCATGACACTGACCAACTTAAATCTGCTGATGAAGATAGTGTGATATGACTGAAAGCTCCAGAACAGCTACTAAAGGGACCTTGTCATTGGCTGTTTTCTAAGGTCAAGAATCTTTATCTGATTTCAGAAAGCTGCTCTAGAGCCACAGAAGACATTATACAACTGTTTTCACACAGGCTGAGTAGAAAATGTGAAAAATCAGTGGCGTGTCCCTTTAAAAGAGGACAGCACCATTTTAGCATTGCACTCCACTGTCAGACTCACGAAGGACAGCTGACATTCATCTGATGACAGATAACATCTCGTTAGCCAACATATTTCGTCTTCCTTGTCCAAACCCGGTCCCTACATTACCCACAATGCCACTTGACTGGATTCCCTGCACAGTGGATTTGCGTTGTCATGCTAATGGAGGCTAATACAGCCTCGAGCCTGGGTTTTAAATTTGCAGTCTCCCTCTGGAGCCGCAAAACGCTTCATAAAACTTTTCTCACAAATGCAGTAGTACTCCCAAAGACCTGTAAACAGACTGATGTGTAAAGCTAGCAGAGAGTGCCTTTAACTGAATTGACATTAGGTGGGACCACACAACAACAACAACAACAACAACAACAACAACATTCCTCTTCGTTTAAAACTTTATTCATAATCTTCATTTACCAATCAATAGTGCATTCCCGGGCTAGCAGTTCAGTAAAACCAGTGTTGGAGGCCTGGTGGATGTTTTGATTTTAAAAGGAAAAAAAAAAAAAAGAAGAGGCCTCTAGGTAGCGAGGCGAGACAAAAGCGCGGTCATAGCCTTGACGTCCCCAGCTTCATGTCCATTTTTTTTTTTTTTTTTTTTTCTCCATCGGCACAGAAAGAAACAGGATGGAGGTCTGTGGCTGTGAGGAGCAGCTCTGCGCTCTGGTACCAGTTCCTCAGAGTTCTCATCCACTCCTGTGTTACTGGTCGTCTTCTGTGCAGATACAGATGCACGGGTCCAAAGGTCATTCAGAGGAGGAAAAGAGGGTCGGAAGGGGGCGGGGGTTGAAAAGGGCATTGCACATACTCTGAGCTGATTCTGGACCCCTTGACGAAAGGGACGTCAACAGAAATACCAACAAATACAGACACAGTCACAAAGCAGCTCTGTGGAGGAGCTATAGTAAAATTCTCTTTTCTACCTCTTGCTTTTCTTTTCCGTTGATAAAGTAATTCAGTAAAGCTTTTCACAACCATAAAACTTTCCATTTTTGTTATTTTCTTTTTTTTGTACATTTGTATCATATATTCACAAAAACTACTTTGACATTTGACAAACATTTACCTCAAATGACATCAAAGTAAAAAGAGCAAAAATAACACAGCCAGTATTTTTACTTATCCAACTCTTTTTTGTTGTGCTTTTTGTTGTTTGTTTTCAAAGCTACACTGATGTAGAGATCAGGTGTCTCTATTTCTATTTGCACAGACAGTGTGTTGTCATCAGATTATGCTCACAATAACTGCCTCGGAGTCAGCGCTGCCATTAATCAAAAACCAACCAGCCAGACGTGAACCTGCTTTATGTGCTGCTAGTTATCCCCAGACGCTCGTAGTGCACGTTGAGCTAGAATGACTTAGCACAGCGAGACAAAAACAAGATGGCAGACTGGTGCCATGGAGAGAGAACCACGGGAGGAGACCTATCCCCGAGGGGCCCGTGGGTGAGTAGACTCAGCCCAGGCAGCCATGGAGACCGAGCCTGCAGGTGCCATTCCTCACTGCTGTTTGTTGATTTGTCTCCTCTGGGAAACCAGGGCCAGAGAGAGCGAGAGAGAGACGGGAAGAGACTACAGAATACAGAGGCACAACAAGAGTGAGGAAGGCTTCGTCTGCGTCCAATGTTTTAGTCCTAATCAACCACAGAGCTGGGTGATACTGACAAAAACCATGACATTATTTTGCTTATTGTAATTGGTGCTTTACACCAGTGAAATATTATTAGTAATGGGAACTGCTGCCAAAAAATTATTAAATTCATTTCATTCAGTAAGAACAGTAAGATAACTCATGGGAATAGTTCAACACTTTGGGAAATATGTAGCAAGTAGAAATAGCCACCCTGTAAAATGTTAAATTGTTGTTTTTACATTTGAGTTTTTGTACAGAATAAACAAACAAAAAATAGCACGTTAATTTGTGAACTTCAGAGTTGCTGGTCAGCAGACTTTGTAACCTTCTGACTGAGCAGAGTCATATTCACTGTACAGACATGAACATTTTATCAATCTTTTCATCTAATATATTATTGTATTAAGATAGATCTTCTGACAGTGATATACTATATGGCCAAAACTATGTGGACACCCCTGTTACTCAACATGTGTGTCTTAAGGCTGCAGCATACAGTGAAATCTAGGGGGAGTGGACAGCGTGCCTCTTGACTTGTCAAACACAGGTGTAACAAGTAGCATTATTAACTGATGCAATGTTATGTAATAACACCTGTGCCTTTCCTGCTATGACAAGTCAAAATGTCTGCTGTCTGAAATCACTGTCTATTAGTGCACTATATTTCCTGTCCACCATTTCACTTGAATCTGAGATCAGAATGTGATATTCATCCACTATAAAGTGTGTGTCCCTAATTCACTGCTCACTATAGAGCAAACTACTGAGTGCCTATTATAAAGCGAGCGTTGAACGAATGAACGATGGTGTGATTTCAAACACAGCTCCGATGACATTTGGAAACAGTAAAGAAAGAAGGAATCCAAAAGGAGTCACGACAGTACAGGGTACAGGAACCTCTGTTTTAGACAATGGTGTGCTTTCATACATGTGTAGTGTTCCCAGGTTGGTGTGGAACCACTTGCCCTGACCTAAAACCCCAACGGCTTTGGGATGAGCTGGAACACTGACTGGGACGGAGGCCTTTATCACCCAACATCACTAATGATCTCTTGGCTGAATGGGACCAAATCCCTGCAGCCAGGTCCCAGTATCTTGTGGAAAGTTTGGGGAATGAGATGTTCAGAGGTCGTATACAGTACAGGTGTAACGCTCACATACTTTTAGCCATGTAGTGTATAATGACAAAACAGCTCTGAACTTTTCTGTGTCTCCGCTGCCACAGTAGAGCTGCAGATGGCCTACTTCTCCCTCCACTGGAGCCTCTCTTTATCATGCCGGTCTCTCCAACGCATGGTGCCGTCTCTCCAGAGTCCCATTGACACACTTAGGTCCCTATTTACCTCCTAGCAGGTCACTGGAAAGATCTGGGGAGGGGGAATCTTTTACAGCATCTTTCTTTGATTTTCTCTTCCAGCTCTTTTTGAATATTTTAAGCAGAAGAATTACCTCTTATCTCTCACCTTGGCTGAGACAGAAGGTGAGCCTAATTCATTAAAGATCCCCTTTTTCCAGACATATTTCATACCTATTCTACTGCTGTGATCACAGTCTGTCACCACCTTCTGTGTTTATAAAGGGCAGAATGGATAAAATAGAGGTATGAGCAAACAGTTTAGTGGCAGCATGCCATGACAGAAAGCAATAGAGCAGATGTAATCCCCATCCCTAACATCTGAAGTAACTCTCTGGAGCCAAATGTTGCATGCAGGAGGCGGGCTCGCACACAGGAAAGAAGAAACTGGGTTTCATGGCATTAGAGAAACGGGTCATGCTTTCACAAATCGTCAACCCAACCTTCTGCAGAACAGGAAGGCAGATTCAACTCCTGTGGTAAAGTTATTAGAAAAGCAATTTTTGCATTATCAATGATTCAGCTTCACAAATCACAAGAGAAGCAGTGGCAAATTATGTTTCTTTTGACAGCTAGTCATGAATATCCACAAACCATATCATCAGTAGTGTCTAATGCTAACGCTGTGTGTTACAGTATCTGTCCTAACAGCTGTGTGTTGGAACCATTTTCCAAACACAGGTATTTTATCTATCAACATACAGTAAACTGTAAGAGGAAGAAATCTCAAATGGCTCGCTCTTGTTGAAGTGCACTAAAGTGGAGTGCTCCAAGATGGAGGTTTTGGACTGTCAGGACAGAAGTGTGTGATTGTTTTCCCTGCACTAATGCTGCCCAGAGTCTCCTCGATGTGTTGTCGATGTCTGGGAAGCTTCAGCATTAGCGATAAAAAGGTCAGACCTCAGATTAGAAACTTCAAAGTGGATCTCCATCTAGCCAACAGTGGTTGATGGAGCTCTGATCCCATTGGCTATTATCCGTTGTGACATCATTGACGGGAGAACAAAGTGGGGAGGTGATGGTAGAGAGGGAGGGAGGGGCTTCGACAGTCTCAACAACATCAACGACGACACAGGACCCAGGAGGGGCTTCAGACAACAGATTCAAGACACACCAGTTTCCACAATAGTTCACCTGACTGATTACGTACTACTGAGTATGATGAACATCGAAAGCAAATTAAAAAACCCCTAGTAACGGATTACAAACACTTGAATTAGCCCTTGAATTGAAAAAAAAACAAAACAAAACCACAGTCCAGAAACGGAGATACATGGCATCCAGGAAAGAAAAGTGAGACAGAAGAGCGATAGATTAAGCACAGAGGCAGGCTTCTTCTCTACTTGATGAAAGGTTTTTCTAGTCTGTCCCATAGTCTGGGTAAAAAGGGCCTGGGTGAGCCCTGTTGGGGTAGGATGTACAATCAAATTGGGCTATGGTCTTGATATGTGTCACACACTCCCCCCCCCCCCCCCCCTCACTATCCCCTGCTAATGCTCTGAACTGCCTCTGCACACACCCCTGCCCTCCTCCCGATGTGGTCGAGTTTCCCAACCCCGAACATTCTCCTCGAGATTTTTGAAATAAGACGGAGAGAGAGAGAGAGAGAAGGCCGAGAGAAAAAGAGAGAGCAAGAGAGCTGAAACAAAATGCATTTCATGTTTTTAAAACGTTTACTAAATCACGCAAATGTCCATTATTCATATGTATGTTTTGAAGCTCCTTTTTCAGTCCACCACAACGACCGTTTCGTATGAGTATAATACAGCATTTTCCTTGTTTTTTGTTGTTTTGTTTTTTTTTTGTTTTTTTTTTATGTTTGCTCGGCTGTCTGCGTCTAGGGAGAGGAACCACAGCACCTGAGGGAGAAAAAGGGAGAAGAGGAGGGAAGAGAAGGAAGAGGGAGATGGGTTGCAGACAGCGCCTGATATATCCCCCCATTTTTGTCCATCGCTGGCAGGTGATTGGGTCGGTCTCTTCTGTCTGTGGGCTGTGCTGCTGTCAGGAGTCGATAGAGGAGATGGAGAGAGGGAGGGTCGATCTGGGACTGCTCATAGGGTCAAAGGTTGAAGGGTCGGGAGGCTCAAAAGGTCGAGGATTAGCCCTGGGTCTCTTTGCCGCTCTCTCGTTCCCGCTGTCCACTCTTGCTCATCTTCATCTCCGTCAGCTGGATGTACCGCAGCACGTTGGTGTCTGTGATGGATGTGAGGCACAAAGGAAGCAATTTAAAGAAGAGTCACATTTTTACATCAATTAACGTGATCTCATTTGATAATGCAGTTAAATTTAGGCTTCTTTCATGTCAGAAAAAAAAAAGGCACAAAGACTTTGGTTATGACAGAGCTGAAATGTGGCACCGTTTCTCCGTTGACATTTCAGAAAATATCTAATAAAGAGTTCTGAACTCTATGAATCACCAATGAGACAGACCCTGACCTTACAAAAATTTATCCAAAAAAAAGATTGAATTTTTGGGAAAAAAAAGTAAAGGCAAAAGGTTAAATACTTAATGTTTTTAACTGGGAATACTGAACCCACACAGTCACCAAATGCTGCATGTACACACACACTCTGATATTAAAAACAGAGCTAGCAGTGTGTTCTGTTTGTCTATGTAAACAGCCAAGCCTGTTGACTTTAGTGCATGTGGTTCACTATGTCAGACAGAGAAACTCTAGCATACAGCATGGTTACCATCTCAATAGTAAATGTGACATCGCTGATTAAATATCACTTACAATTTGGGAATAAAACACGAAATTGAGATCGGACTTAAAAGGTACCCTGCAGAGTTTTTGACCATTAGTAGCATTATTGAGTTATTCAAGAGTGGGTGCAAGTTTTGTTTGTATCTTCCATGTGCACAAAGAGGCAGCTGCGTGGCATGATATACGGTCTTGGTAATGAAATTTCGTAATGCACCAACAAAAGCGGATGTAAAACGTGAGTTTAAAGCTATCTAAGAAAAATCTAATCAAATCTGCAAATTTTTTATGATGAAGGAAACATAGTTAAACAGGCTTCAAGAAAACACACACCCCGTTTCTATGAAAAGCACTGAATGTAAACATACTGTAACTCCACAGGGCACCTTTAAATGCTTCTACAACACAGGGGAGTACCCAGGATTTTAGAAATACTGAGATCAGATTAGAGTAGCAAGCAGCCCTCACTACTCTAAGAAAATTTCGACAACAATAAAGGCATCTAATATTTTATAATTAACTATTGAATTACACTTAAATTTCATTTCCAAACAGGTCTAAGTGGTGTTTCAATAAATTTTGCAATAAAAATCAGGAGAAATGTTAAATAAAGAAGCAAATAGCAGCAATGAAGACTTGAATCTTGTCACCAACCGAATAGCGAATTGTGGCATGTAATCCCTACTGAATACTTGATGTTAAGATTTAAATAGTATTTATCGCTCTGAAATATTTTCCCTTAAAAACTATTTATCTGACTTTATGTGGTCTGATTTCCCCAATTTCAAGTTGTGCAATTCCAGGTACTTTATATGCAGTATCTATATTTTTCAGCATTCGTGAATTTAAATAGAAAATTCAAGTTCCCATTATTCAAAAATTATATTTAAAATGCTCAAATTCAGCAAGATGGATTCTGATATATTATCACCTGGTTTCATAAATCAGTCAATAAAAAAATAAAAATAATAGTGAGGACATGAGCTCAGTGTGATAGCTACATGGCCCTCAAGCCTGTGTTCTACAAGTCCACTTGAAATTATGAATTATGAACTTCAATTTAAAAACTACAGAGCTTCGCTATAGCTTGCAGCCAATCTAATATCAGCCTCCGTCATTTGTCATGTGACTGTATTTAAATATTCTCACCTGTGGGTTCGCGGTTCTTGGCGTCACGCAGGTAACGTAGGGCACATTCGTAGTCACCCAGGTGATAGAAGGCGATGCCGGCGCGGTACATGGCCTTGAAGTGGTCTCTCTGGTGGCTCAGCACCTTCAGACAGTACTCCTTCACTCTCTCGTAGTTTACCAGCTCGGACTGCAACAGACACGCTGCAGGAGGGAAGAGAGAGAACGAGTTAGTAGTTTATAAGTAGAAGATGCTGAAAATGGTAGTAATGAAAAATAAAATATTTTGCCTGATTTGGTCCAAGCAAACAACTCGAGTCTGTTTAAGTGGAGACAAGTAGGTCCCACGAGTCAAAAACAAAGACGGGGATATTCTGCTGACATCTCACTCGGTGCCTTTTAATAGAGCCACGATGAAATTTAGCCTCCACAGTACTTCCTCAGGATGGCAGTGAGCTGACTATAAATAGCCAACACTAATGTCTCACAGAGTAGAGAAGACAACAAAAAAAGTTGTGCAAGCAGTAAAGTCTCGACACGCTGCTGTTGAGCTCGACATGTAAAATAGAGGAAAGGGGAAAAACGCAGCTTGAGAACGAGGGATTGAATACTGTGAGGATGCTTAAGTCTTATTTCCCTGACTTAGCAGGTGTGTTGTAAGTACTGCGGGCAGCAGGAGAGGAGGAGGATGCAGAGATCAAGTGAACGCCAGATACCGCAGGAGATGAGATGTGAATGACGAGACCAAGCGAGCTGAGCTTGAACCAACTTTACCGTTTGAAAAACTGCCATGAGGTTCAACACAGAGTACTTAAGAATAAGTATTTCACTGTAGTCATCAATCCTATATGTGTGACTTGCAGCAGCACTTCCCTGAAGCGATTCTCAACAGCTCTGAGATCGGCTAAGGTCAGGATAACTGCATTAGTAAAGACACAAACACACACAGCTTTTAGTCCACCATAGCTCTTAAAAGCCTGCTTATTGCTCTGATATCTGATCGCTCAAACACAATTCCTCTGGTCATCACAACCACTCAAGGTTTTGTTTCACTTCATTTCTTCCTTTTTCCATCACTCCTTCAACCCTTGCCACTGTCTTAATCTATCTGATGAGATATCAAAAATAATTTCCCTTCCAGTCTCCCTTCATATCTCCTCCAGCACTCTCACCCCACCCTTTCCCTCCCCTGACTTGTTTTTATCCCTCCTCCCTCCTCCATCCTCCCTCTCTCCCCCGATTCTGCCCTTGACACACGGACAGCTCTGTGAATAACATGAGTCAGGGACTGTTAGCTGGGAGGCAGGGTGAGTCAGGAGTGAGAGATGGGTGGGAGGGGGGGGGGGCGGGGTGGGCCAGGAGGGGGGGGGGGGGGGGAGGGGGGGGGGGGGGGTGAGGAGGGAAGGAGGAGGAAGAGGAGGAGTATGTATGTGGGTGGCTGGGGGTGAAGTAGAGGACAAGAGGTGAGACCGATGGGAGACTAGCGGGGGAGGAGAAGGGGTGAGTGTGTTAAAAACAACTGAAAACAGTGTTCCTCTACCTATCGTCTCCCCCTGAACCTCAGAGACATACTGTAGAGGGTGTGTGTGTGTGTGTGTGTGTGTGTGTGTGTGTGTGTGTGTGTGTGTGTGTGTGTGTGTGTGTGTGTGTGTGTGTGTGTGTGTCTAAGATGTTAGGAGCAGCTTGGACAAAAAGCAAATGCAGTGAGAAGTGGTCAAGGACTGAGTATTTCATCAAATGAGCAGGACTAATGGGGCTCTGTCACACACGCACACACTGGCCTTGCCTGTCAACAACTCAAGTGCAAAACACTAAATAATGCATTGTGGTCATCAGGGGATGGACCAGTTCAATAACTGTCAGTGTATTTTTTTTTATTTAGTGAAGCTGCCTGTGTCTGGAGGATGCATAGAGTGTACTGTGCGTACTGCGTGTGTGTGTGTGTGTGTGTGTGTGTGTGTGTGTGTGTGTGTGTGTGGAATCACTGCTGTAGTTTTTGCTGATAGGAATGACAACCATAACTATAGAAACTATAGAAAAATGAAAGAAGAAAAGAGGGAGCTTTAAAAATTTAAGTGAACTGTTTAGTTTGTTTTGTTTCCTCATAATGTCAAACCCTTTGTGTATGAGATGCTGTATAAAAAGTAGATAAAATTATAGTTTATCATCAACACACACACACACACACACACACACACACACCACACACTAATAAAAAGAAGCCTGAAAATCCTCCCTTTTTTCAGTGAAGCTCATGACTCAGCACAGAGCAGCAAGGTCGAAGCTGTTTCTCGTCTTCAGCGATCATAAGTCTGCTCGGCCCGGTACAGTGAGAATCACCTCAGATGCCCTCTCCCTCTCGTGCACACCTCTCTACAGACTCCACTCCTGTATTTGTTTTTACAACCGTTCAGCTGCAACATGACTGCTCTCATCCCTCCACACGCCCATCCATTATCGCCCTACAGCAGTGGACGCGAGCCGAGCTTTCAGAGGATTCAGTTACACTCCATAATGGCCTAATGGCTGACGCAGTTACAGAGTTCACCGAGACTCACACACTAACATACTCAATGCATAAAATACACACACACCTACAGCGCGCGTACAGCAGATACACAGTTACCAGTGTCACAGACAGAGGTGCAAATGCATTCACAGCAACACAGATTTCTGCAAACAAACAAGTGGGTGTAAACGAGGGTTGACCACACAACCACGCACAGAGAAGCTACAGATACACACTGAATCACAAACTGATGACTGTACATGAACTGTTTGATGCCAGCAATGGTTAAAAAGAGACGTGACTGTACAGCACAGACACACAAAAGCAGTGTGGCCGACCGCACCCTGCCGGCCCATTAGGCAGATGGATGGCACGCCAGAGGGAATCTAAAGTGTGGTGAGATGCATTAAGGGTGTGATAATGATGGGATCATCGAAGAAAGGCTGGGCAGGGTCACAGACAGAGACACGATGTAAGAAAAAGAAAAAGAAAAAAAAAAAAAAAAAAAAAAAAAAAAAAAAAAAAAAAAGCAGAGAAATATCACTGGAGCCAAGGTGTCCAAGTCACAGAGGGACAGGTGTGTGTCAGGGTTTCTGTTTGTGTCATGTATTATAAGAGAGATGTGGCTGGAGTGATCAGAAAGTGATTCCTACAAACAAATCAAAACGGCTGTGAGAAATGTTTGGAAAGCAGAAAAAAAAAAAACAAAGTTGTTCTTTTGTTGTGACTTTCCACAGATCTTTGATTTTAACCTTGTGAATTACAGGCTGGTCAATTGACATCAGTTACCATTGCATGTTGTTATACAGACACTATATACACTGGGAAATGAGGCTGTATAGAGTTCACTAAATAGTGAAGTCAGAAAAATGAATAAAAGCTACTCTGAGTAAATCTTTGTTGCTTTGCTTCCTCTGTTTTCATCCGTGTTATTTATTAGTCGTGAGGCTGTTGTAAGCTCACGGTGGCTGTAAATTAAAACACCCTCACAGATTTCCCCACTTAGCTGGGTTACTGTCCTGTAATGAGCATAATCATCAATTTGACACATTCATTCTGCATCTTTACATCTACAGTACATCCAGTGCCAACATGCAGTGCCAGTACAGGAAGTAGTAGTGTGTGTCCTATATGTAAGGAGGCAGATTGTACAGCTGTGGATGTGGTGGATGGGTAGTTATAGCACAGCTGGCTTTCATGCAGGGAATCAGTTTGCCTCTGGTCACAGATCTACATTTTTATCAAGCATAACTATGATCTTTCCCGAGCTATAACCAAGAGCTCTTGTGGCCTAATCCTAACCATGGTTTATTTGTTTTAACCACAGTCTTTTTCTAACCTTAACGATACCAAATTGCCGACATTTGTCAGTGAATTTGATCCCGGGTTTTTCCAGAATTGTCCAATATCAGTGCCGTCGTCTGGCGATGCAGGTAGATGTGCAAAAAGCTACAAGGGGTTACAAGCAGACATAATGCATGATTTTGATCAGTCAGTCAATCAACAGAAAATGAATCTGCAACTATGTTGATTAATGATTTATCTTTTCATTTTTCGAGCAAAGATGCTCAACATGATCTGGTTCCACCTTCTCAAATTTCACCTTCTCAGATTTGCTCTTTCTGGAGATTTTTTTTTTTTTTTTGACAAAATGATTAAGCGATGAATCGAGAAACTAATTGTTAGTTGCGGCTCTTGTTACAAATATTGTGTGACCATGAGCAAGATCTTACAACGCTGCCAGTTGAAGGGCTGCAGAACTGACCTTGAACTTTGATCTTTCTATGAAAATCTAAAGTCAACAACATATCAGATTTAGCTTGTAGATTTTTGTTTGGATTAAAAATGCAGGGTTCAGCCGGTACATGTACATGGGATGAGAGAGGAAGAATAATGAGATGTGAGACTGCAGAAAGGAAACAAAGCGGTGCAGATAGATTTGCCTTGTCATTTGAGGACAGGCAAAGAAGAATAATCTGAGGATTCATGTGATGCTGCGACGCTGGCTGTGTGACGGGGGTAAGTATTTCTTTCTCTTTCTGAGGATCCTCCGTCTCACTGCCAGGTTTTAAGGAGTAGAAGTAGACAAAATGCAGGAAACAGGAAAAAAGAAAAATGTATTTAAATTTCTAAGCCCAGAGAAAACCCAACAGGTGCAAAGGCAGCTGTCAAGTGTGGGCAAGTGTGTGTTCGTGTGTGTGTGTGTGTGTGTGTGTGTGTGTGTGTGTGTGTGTGTGTGTATGTGTGTGTATGTGTCTGCCTGTCTTAATGTGATTGTGTGTTTTTCCGCTGCTTGAATCTCGAATGAGAGGTGCGGTGAGTGGGAGTGGTTAACACATGCTCAGGAACCCCACTGCTTCGCCTCAAGCATCATGTCTGCAAAAAAAAAAAAAAAAAAAAAAAAAAAAAAAAAACAGAGCCTGCATCGAGACTCGCTTTCATTTACAGACAGAGGACCAAAGCCTGTGAGGAATAATAGAGCGAGATAGGGAGAGAAAAAAAAGGCAGGAAGCTGAAATTAGACGAGAGAGACAGGGGGCGAGGGAGGACAGAGATGGAGATAGAGATAGAGACAGCACTGACAAAACAAAATCCAGCAACAGCCGAGGGAAAATAATTTCTGTATGCGAGGTACAGAGGACAAGAGGAGAGATGACGGGGAAGCAGACAGAGTGAGCTGTGTGAAAGCGCTTTT